TTAAAGAAATTAAATCTAGAATAGAAAATGCGAGGGGTACTTTTATCAGAATGCAGAAATTTTTCAAATGCAATGTTTTTAATTTACATCTTAAAATTAGAATGTTAAGGTGCTATGTGATGTCAGTTTTGTTTTATGGAGTAGAAACGTGGACCTTAGATAAAAATACGTTAAACAAACTTGAAGCATTCGAAATGTGGTTATATAGAAGAATTTTAAAAATATCTTGGACAGATAGAATAACAAATGAGGAAGTTTTGGAAAGAATGGGGAAAGAAAAAGAAGTTTTAAATACAGTTAAAAGAAGAAAGACGGGGTATTTTGGCCACATCATCCGAGGAAGTAAATATGAAATTTTGAGAAATATTTTAGAGGGAAAAATCTGTGGAAAGAAAAGCCCAGGAAGGAGAAGGAAAAGTTGGTTAGGTAATATATGTGAATGGAATAATAAGAAAGCAGAACTAACACGTGAAGCACAATTGAGATTGTTATAATACTAGTCCTACATTCAGAAATGAATATGGAACCAGAAGAAGAAGAAGTATATTGTAATAATATTAGTAGTTGCCAGAAAGCTCATAAAATAGAGAAAAATCTGTAAATTTGAAAACAATAAACATACATTTAGATTTCTAAATAAATTTAAAAATATCAAAAGTCTCTACTTTTGGCTGATTTGTCTGAGGTCTCCGCTACCTCACTACGTCCCTCTAAAAGTCGCCACAGTTGGGAACGAACACTGGTGAGCAGACATCTAGGGTCTAAGTAAGGCGAAATGTAATCGCCAAACCGCGCTGTAGAAAGGCAGAAAAATTTAAAAATATAATTTCTTGTGAATAGCAGTTTGGGCCCCTTTCCAAATGGGCCCTGTGCGGGTGCACCTGTTGCACCTGCCTAGTTACGGCTCTGCGTATAGATATAAACTATCTGCATTTAAGGCACTTATTAAGAGGGCCTTTTTGTACTGCGCCAATGTGCGAGACCGTGACAAGGAAATGGATAGAATCACCATTTCGCAATGGATCGGCCCAAAGCCTTTTCCAAGATTCGGTAAGGTTGAAATTATTGGAATGCAGGGATTTAGCTCTTAAGAGAGGGGGGGTGTCTTGATTTAAGTCGATTAATGCCGAGATCATCAATATCCCGATGAATCGGAAGTTGTGGACTGGACAATATTTTCCCATATTCCCCGAGCAGAGCGTAACCAATGAACAGGAGTAGATTTAAGAGTGCCTGTTATGATACGTAGAGTATTATTTAGTCGGG